AACCCTAAACCCTAAACTAGGCTTCACATGACGTGCTCAGGACAGCTCGGCCTGGAGAAGCAGAGCCAGAGCTGACGCGATGAACATGGTGCTGCGAACTGAATCTCAAGGGGATTTAGGCTTTAGGGTGTAGGGTTTGGGTTTGGGGTTTAGGGTTTAGGGTTTAGGGTTTAGGATTTAGGGTTTAGGGTTGAGGGTTTAGGGTTGGGGTTTAGGGTTTAGGGTGTAGGGTTTAGGGTGCAGGAATCTCAGGCGATTTAGGGTTTACCTTTATTACCCCAAATAACCTACCTCTTTTAAGGACTTAATATCAAGAGATCATAATCAGGAACCCTACAAAGGTAGGTTCTTTAGGGTCCAGGTATGTCCAGGTAGGGCCTAAGTTTAGTAGTTAGGGGTATCATGTGCAACCTTTTCTCGATGTGGTTATCGGAAGTTGGCTACGGTTTGCAAACCCTATAAACTTACAGTCACTCAACCTGAAGCCCTAAACCGACAACCCAAAACACCGAACCATTCTCTGAGCCATACACTCAACCCAAACGCGTACTAAACTCTAAAACTCTAAGCCCCAGATGTGTTCTTGGTATCCGTTCTCGGAGCCAACTCAGCCAGCGGCACAGCGTCGAAAAAGAAGTGGAGCGCTTGCCTCAACGATGGCCTTGTACGGCATACATAGCCGTAAGTCTCATGGGGCTCCCAAGTGAAGGGATGTATGTGGAATGAATCCCAACTAAGGACCCGTATACAAGAAATCCGTTATCCGATCTCCCGAATTCGACCTTTTGAGGTCCTCGATGATACAGGGCTCTCATATGTCTATACTATGGTCGTAATAGCCCTTTTCCTGTCTTTGTACACATACATTACATATATACCACATACCCACAACGACGATTGAGGCCCGGGATTGTAGGCGTAGGACGAGCCCGAGGCCCACTACCCTACCCTAACAGTTTAGGGTTTCGGGTTTAGGGTTCAGGGTTTAGGGTCTAGGCTTCAGGGTTCAGGGTTTAGGACTCAGGGTTTAGGATTTAGGGTTCAGGGTTTTGGGTTTAGGGTGTAAGCAAGAGGCAGTGGAAAAGTCTCGGGCTCTGGTTCGGGGTTTGGCTAGTTACGATTCGTTTACAGTCGAATGTTCTCGTTTGCGGGAGGACGATGAGAATATGCGAAAGCAATGGGACGTCTCCGACAAGCTTGTGGACGAGGATCTGGATTCTTAAATACTTGTAGTGGAGCAACAACTCAGGAACAAAACCCTAAACCCTACACTCTAAACCCTAAAACCCTAAACCCTAAACCCCTAAACCCTAAGCCAAACATAGACCGTTGGGGCGGGTACGCTTACTTTATTGCTGCGCAAGATCGGGATGCTGGGACGTCCCAACCTTAGGGTTATTATCTAATTATGATGGGGCCTTAGAGTTTAGGGTTCAGTGGCGGCCTTCATAGTTACCTATATACAGTATATATACTGTTTTTGGGGGGATTGTATAATATACCACGAACCCTACTCTAATTATTCAGGCCGCTACATTCGGTATCGCTCTGGGTCCCTAGCAACAACAGACCCTTCGATTTGTGTTTTGGGAGGGGGGGTCGGACAGGGTTTAGGGTTACGAAACCCTAAACCCTAAACCAAGAAAGTCTCAGGACCATGCCTGTGACCATTGAAGCGGGGTAGCCATCCTTCCCCAGAGACCTAAGGAGCCGTAGTCTTGATTGAGATATAGAACCCTAAACCCTAAACCCTAAGCCGTTATAGAACCCTAAACCCTACATAAACCCTA